TGACCATTGGATTCAATATTCTCGTGGTCATAGGGCCAAGACCGCAGACGAACAATGAGTTGGGGTTTTTAGCTGAAAGTTTTTTTTTTTCTGCAGGAGGGAGTGAAAATTTATTTTTTTTATTTTAATTTTTTTTTTTTCCTGAACTGAACCTCTGCATACCCGTGGACCACATTACACCACATGATGGGTTCCAGGCAAACCAAACAATATCGTTTTTGGTTAAAAAAAATGTATATATATAACATATTTACTTATGTATATATATATATATATATATATATATATAATATATATATATATATATATTATATAATTATCGATTTGCCACTTTTTTTATGTAATTAGCAATTAACTCGATTCCCCCCCAATTTTTCAATGAAATTTCACCTGAACTTTGCCAAGGTTGTGCTGGAAGACCCGTTGATCTCGAGTAGGCGTTCAGTTAGATACATCAAAGAGCACTTTGAATTCCCCTATACGAACAACAGCCCATTGTGATGTCCTAATGAGTCTCGCTATTCGTGCAGGAGGAGTCACTAATGAGGCACGAGACAAAATGGGAGCTGTTCCAAGGGGATGCGAGGGTAGTAGTTCCCAACCCTCACTGAGTGATGGTGTACATTGTATCTTACAGCTTGCAAGTACCTTTTTGTCCTCTGTTCCTGAGTACTAGGTGACTTTGATCCAATCTCCGACCTTGATCCAGGTGGCAAATACATTTACTCTCCCACTGACCATGTAATTGTTGTCCCAAAATAGATAATCACTTCAAACAGGGTAAAGATGGCACAGGGAGAGAACAAAGGAGTTCGTGGAATATCTATACATCTGTCTATATCTGTTTATCTATATTTATATTCATTTACATGTATTCATACATATTTATATCTCTTTGATCTTCTTCCATTTCTACATAGGGTCGCCGTTATGGATGGGCCGCCTCCACTGATTTACCTATGGCTCATTCCTTATTGGTTTTGGCATGTTTTCTTTACAGTCGGATGCCCTTCCTGACACCAACCCTCTGCCAGGCTTTTGACCGGCACCCACAAAGGCTGACCCCCCCCCCCCCAGATGGCTTTTACAATGGGCAATCAAGGTAAAGTTCCTTGCCTATGGGAACAACGCGCCAGTCAGGGGACTCGAACCCTTCATATTTATAGCTATTTGTACTTATTTAGTCACATATATTTATATCTATTTTTCATTTTACTTATTAACTCCACAGGATCTTTATTGTACTTTAAATTATTTATTCATATTCAGAGCTATTTACATTTATCTAGTTATATTCATAGCTATTTACATTTACCTATTCATATCTATTCATATCCATTTATTATTTTGTATATCAACTTGGGATCATTATTGTGCTACTTTGAAGCCTTACCTTGGTTCCAAATGTACTGATACACACACACACACACACGCACACACCACACACACACACACACACACACACACACACACACACACACACACACACACACACACACACACACACACACACACACACACACACACCACACACGATGGACTGATACAAAATAATAAGGTAAGATTGATTCTTCTCAGTCCGCTTTGTAGTTCTGGAAGTATAACTAATAACATTTGCTTGGATATGAAGGAAAAATTGATGTTATGTTTCTTTGGTCTTTCCCATCTTCATGTCTTTATATGCTATATTCCAAGAGTTGGTCTTCGGTCTCCCCTAAGTTGTGTACGAGATTTTTGTTCATTTTGTTTATTCATTTTTATTTATTATTTATTATTTTTTTTTTTTTTTTTTTTTTTTACTGGTGAGGTGTTCGTCTTCGCCGCTTAAGTAGATATCACTTTACTATTTGAATTCATACTTTTGTAGCTTTAGTTTCATTTCTCTCTCCTCTCTCTCTCTCTCTCTCTCTCTCTCTCTCTCTCTCTCTCTCTCTCTTCTCTCTCTCTCTCTCTCTCTCTCTCTCTCTCTCTCTCTCTCTCTCTCTCTCTCTCTCTCTCTCTCTCTCTCTCGCTAATAAACCCTTCCTATTTTTCCTTCTTTCGTTTTCCTCTTTTGTCTAAACACACGCCTTCATACATAAAATGCATATGGTGAAATTTTGATACAATAATACATAAACTAACGCATATGTAAATGTGCAAACGTTTTTATATATTCATCTGGTATATATGTGGCTGGCTTCATGCATGTAGTAGAGAGAGAGAGAGAGAGAGAGAGAGAGAGAGAGAGAGAGAGAGAGAGAGAGAGAGAGAGAGAGAGAGAGAGAGAGAGAGAGAGAGAGAGAGAGAGAGAGGATGGTGTATAGATGAAATTGGGGTTAATTTACAAGGAGAATTTTTTTTTTTCATTAATGTTCAAATGTACTTAAAAATATAGGCTGCTATCTTTACCTTTCGAGAGAGCGAGAGGAGAAAGGGGGAAGCCAGACAGAGAAAGCATTATTTTATTTCTTTTTTTTCAGACCATTTCCATACAGTCGAAACGATATTGAGAATCTTCATCTCTCGCCAGTAAAACTCTGTACTCTAATCAAAGGTGGAAAAGGGAAGGGTGAAGGTGCGCAATAGAGAATACACGAGCGAGAATTTAAGGAAGAAGCCGCAGAGGTCAAAGGTCGTAAAAGACAGGAACATTTGTATAGCGACCCGAGTTCTTTTGGAGGCGAGCGAGCACTAAGGAGAGACAAGGACTGAATAATTACAAGGTCTGACACTAGACAAACCACGAACACGAGAGTGGCAAGTGTGATCCTGAATGGAACAGAAAATGGTTTGCAGAACTAGTCAAAAAAAAAAAAAAAAAAAAAAAAAAATAATAAAAAAAAAAATAATAATAAAATAAATAAAAAACCTAAATGGAAAGGAAATTACTATCATATGCAGAAATGTAGGAGGAAAAATATACTTCTGAATAAAATTAGCTACAAATTGTCAGGGAAAATGGGACAGGAAAAAAACATTCACGAAATAGATAATAACAACGAGAACACAACCCTGATTTAACGGAACACAATTTTACATATGACTCGCAACAAGCCAAGACGGAAAAAACATTAACTTCATTCGAGGCGAGATTTGAGGAAACAGTGAAGAAACAGATGCAATGCGTGGTTTCTAAGAGCGGAAATCGTGTCGTAGATTACGGGAGTTCCAGCTGAGGAAGCGACATCAGAGACCCAGCCAAGAAGAGACGTGAGAATTCCAGTTGGAGACATTGGAGGAGAGATAATGTTCCATTTGAGGGGAGAAATTGGAGTTAAACATGAAGAGAAACGTCATTGTATCAGCTGAGGAGAGACTGAGAATTCCAGTTGGAGACATTGGAGTTAAACCTGAGGAGAGATATTGTTCCAGCTGAGGAGAGACATTGGGGTTAAACCTTGAAGAGAAACATCATTGTTCCAGCTGAGGAGAGACCAGATATGCAGCTAAGGAGAGACGTCATTGTTCCAGCTGAGGACAGACATTGGAGTAAAACCTGAAGAGAGACGTCATTGTTCCAGCTGAGGAGAGATGTCAGAATTCAAGCTGAGGAGAGACATTGGAGTTGAAACTGAAGAGAAACGTCATTGTCCCAGCTGAGATGAGACAAGAGTACCAGCTGAGGAGAGAGACTAGAGTACATGAGTGGAGTACCAGCTGAGGAGACCAGCTGAGGAGAGAGACTAGAGTACCAGCTGAGGAGAAAGACTCCAGCTGAGAACAGACATCAGACTTCCAACTGAGGAAGCGATCAAAAACAAAATGAGAGAACGGAGGCGATGGAAGGAAAAGGAGAATAAAGCAAACGTCTTATTCACGAACCTCTCTATGTCTCTCCGTCTTCCCTTAAGCCCAGAGACCGAGCCGCCTTGTTAAGCTTGTCACATAACCTGAACCAAAGGAAGAGCGACGTTAATATTCTAATCTTGAGACATTTGCAGATTCTTACATATATGCATATGTGTGTGTGTGTGTGTGTGTGTGTGTGTGTGTGTGTGTGTGTGTGTGTGTGTGTGTGGTGTGTGTGTGTGTGTGTGTGTGTGTGTGTGTGTGTGTGTGTGTGTGTGTGTGTGTGTGTGTGTGTGTGTGTGTGTGTGTGTGTGTGTGTGTGTGTGTGTGTGTGTGTAGATAGATAGATATATGGATATAGCTAGAGATAGATAGATAGATATAGCTATTGATAGATAAATAGATAGATATAGATGTAGATATGTATATGCATATGTATATGTTGTATATATATGTATATATATATATATATATATATATATTATATATATATATATATATATATATATATTATATATATCTGTAGCTATATCTATATCTACATCTATCTATCTATATATGTATGCATATGTGTGTGTGTGTGTGTGTATGTGTATGCGTGTGTGTGTGTGTGTGTGTGTGTGTGTGTGTGTGTGTGTGCGTGTGTGTGTGTGTGTGTGTGTGTGTGTGTGTGTGTGTTCTGATTTGGGATTTGAACTGCTCTATCACTATCTATCGTGTGCCCACAGGGAGCGTGTATAAAACTTCGCTATCCTTACTCACGTATGAGTAGATGTGTATGGAAACTAGATGGTTCCTACTTGCACATTCCTTTGAGGCATATAATTTCTGTAATTTCCTCTTTAAATGTTTGCAAGTACCATTGAAATTAATTAAAATAATGCCACACATTCAGCGTTTGATAGCTGGTAAAGCTATCATTAACTAATTTTGATTATAAAATAGTTACATATACATACATGTGCAAATGAATCTACATATACACCCTTACACTTATGATTCCAAATAGACAGACATACTGACAGACAGATAAAGATAACTGATACACCAACACACATTTCTACGCGTAAGAGTGAGCATAATCGGCATTAGCAATTTCTCATATTCCGTTGCCATCGCGGTACAGACTTCGCAATCCACTGGCTGTACCTTCTGTCATCCCCACCTGTTGTTGATCCCTCAATTCACAGCTTCTCTTACTCACACTCACTCGCCGCATTCTCACCCACATGGCTGGGGGCGCACACACGTACATGGGAACGCACGCACATGGACAGGTGCAGATAAAGATTTATAAACATACACAGGCGCTTGCACAAACAGAGGTGTGAATATAAAAACTAACGGATAGAAACGGAAATATATGCAGATTCAAACACACACGGGCGCTAACATTAACACAAATATTAACAGACGCATACACTCCCCCCCCTCCCCTTACACACGCACACAGAACACTCACAAAAAACTCACGAACTTACAAACACACTTACAAACACACTACTCACCCCCCC